TGTAGTGCAACTGCATGAATCACCTATTTTGGTTTGTTTTCAGGTGCATGCTAATGGGGCACCACTTGAGAGGTCTTGAATATCGATTGGAGCTGGCGCAACTGCTCAACGTTCCAGAGACGGATGCTCCCAGTGGCCGGCAAACTGCCTAACGCTGTATTTTCCAGACAATAGTTTTTGTAATAATTTATAAGTTTGTTATGATATGTACGTATTATATATATGAAATTTGACGCTTTCAAAATATTAGCTTTTTCCAAAATGGTAGTAACCTGTAATCCCCAGATCTACCCCAAAAAAAATAAAATTGGGTTTCTATATTGATTGGTAGTGCATAGAGGAACTTATATTTCTTTGGGAGCTTGAACCAAACTGTTGGTCGTGCGAGAGTTTAAATGTGCTTTGATCAGGTTTAATGAGCTTTGATCAGGTTGCTAACCTTGGCTATAAGAGGTCATATTCACACCCGTTCTTTTGAATTCCTCCATAAAATTATCAACAGATTAAAGAGAAGAAATAATCTTATAGTCTTGGTACGTGGCATTCTTTTTTTTGTTGTGCTGAAAATTTGAAGCTCTACAGTTTCTGTTGTTTACATGTGGATATAGTTTTCGGTGAGGCAGCTCTCTCATATACTTATATGTGTGCCTCTCCAAAATCCATTAGGGTTTGATTATCGCAACCATGATGATAGTAATCCTAAAAAGAAAGTTAAGTTTCAAAAATCCGTGTAGTTTGATAGTTTTTTGACACCAGTGATTTTAGTTTAGAGGCATTTTTAAGCTATCTGAGATGTTTGATGCAATTCCTGGCGCCCAAAATGGAGCTACTTTCACGTCTTGAGTTTTATAATTATGTGATTTTCAAATTTGCCTACAAATTTCCAATATTTCCGGGTGTCTTTTCAGTGAGAAAGAAAATGGTATGCAAGTCATGGTTAAAGATTTTTAGAGAGAGAAATGAACTTTGTGAAAAGATATTTGCGCTCTACACAATTTTTATAGTGGTTATTTTATTGCATATGTAATGGTAATATAATGGTATATTTTCTTTTTTGTCACATGCAATATACATTTTTCTATCTTGTTATGTTCTCTTTTTAAAATGAATGAATATTCTCTTATCAAAAGGAAAGAGTATTATACTTTTCTATCTTGGTTGAATTTTGTTTCTATTACTCTCCCTCACCCTCAAACTCGGTTGAGGAGGCAGTTGAAGCTTGAGTTTGAAGCATAAATCTGAAAAATATCTCGTGACAAAGACTTGGTGAAGATATCAGTTACTTGATTATGAGAGAAAATAAATTGAGTGATAAATAATTCAAGAGCAATCTTTTCACACACAAAAGGAAAGAGTAATACACTTTCTATCTTATTTGAATTTTGTTTCTATTAATGGTCTTTACTAAAACTGTTTCGGAACCTACTAAGTGAGTCCTAGCTCATTTTCCATGTCCGTACCCACATAATCCATCATCGGTGATGCACCACACACCCTATTTCAACGTATGCTTCTATTTACTATGAAATAAGCTTTTTTACATGACAAAGAACACCCTCCCTCACGAAGTGGCGAGAAAATTAGATGAGGGTTATTTTTTCCATCGGATTTGAATTAAACCATCTCAAAACTTACTCAAAACTTACGTTTTAAAGAGAAATTATTTCAAAATTTTTAAAGAGAAACCATCTCAAAAGTTTAAGTCATATAGAAAGAGTATCTCAAAATTTTTAAAGAAAAAACTATATCAAATTTCAAGTGTTAGAAGAACTATATCAAAATTTTTTACAGAAACTATCTTAAAATTTTTAAATCTATTGGTTGGAATTTCTAAATTCAAAATAGTATTAAAAAACACTCCCACATAAAAATACACACATGCCATAAAAACCCTAATTAGCACATTGCACATATCCACAATAAGTCCTGATCCCAACAATCCCTTGTTCCTATATCTTGGTGCCACATACAAGACACTGGGGTCTATGTTGGGGCGGTACGGGAAAAGACGACCATTATTACATAAGTAAGATCATGGTCAATTATGAGACAATATTTTAATGAGGAGAGACATTGGTTAACCTTGGTAGGGCACACCGTTGAGCTCATATAAAAAACATATCAAGTACCACCATGAGAAACCAGTTCTCAATTGGCAACTGGCCAAGTGAAGGATGATCCTAAGTGAGTTCAATATTGAGTATGTAACTTAGATTTCAATCAAGAGGCAAGCGATTACCGATTACTTAGTAGAGCATCCTTACTTGACAGTACGCTAGCCAACACTGATCCACCCAATGAAGACCTCTCCGCCATTGAAGACTTCACCTAAATGCTCTACTTCGACTGAGCTAGGACTGAATATGGCACTGGTCTTGGTGCCATCCCATGCTTGCCATATAAAGTAATGTTTCCAACAACCAAGGCTCAATTTTCCGTGCACAAATAATATAACAAAGTATGTAGCCTTAATACCCATACTCAAGAATGCCTGTGAACTCTGAATTCAACGATTGCGGGTCATTAGTTATTCTCTCCTCATCATTAACTAGGTTCAAGGCACTTGGAAGGAAAAAAATAAAAAGCTCCAACCTCACCAAGAGAAACTGGAAAACCTGATCTAGTGCTTCATGCAGATAAGTTTCTAGCAATGACAAGGGAAAACAACAGGTTTGCGATACCCTACCCACTCTTGCTTCCATTGTGGACATATCTCCAGAGATGAGCGATCAACTATTTTACATAAGGTATAAAAGTGACCCTTCTCGTCCTAGGATAGAAGGAGATGAGGAAATTGAGGAAAATAATGAACGAGAAGCTTTCACTCTTGAGCTGAATTAGATAGTGAAAGCCAAGCCATGGTTCCAAGACATATTGGTCCTGTTAAAAGATGACACATATCCTGACGGGGCTTCAAAGAGAGATTCGGATGACTTAGGAAGATTTTCAAACTTCTTACTAAGGGATGATGCCATCTACAAGAAGTCCTTCAACGAATCCTCCTACATTGCATCGACCAACCTGAGATCGATGCAGTGCTCAAAGAATTACACGACGAAGGACATACTAGGGCAACTCTACTAGTTCAAAACATCAGACAATAGGGGTATTACTTGACCACCACGGTTGAAGATTGCTAGAAATATATGAAGAGATTGCCAGAATGCCAAATTTATGAGGACATCATACTTACTCCATTCATGCCCCCCAATTCTATGCCTCCGGTTTGGCCATTTTCAATGTGGGCTTTAGAGATAATAGGACTGATTACACCAAGGGCCTCAAATGGACACTGATTCATACTCACAACTACCGAATATTTTCGAGGCCACCTCATTTATTAAAATAAAATGATGTTATGCCCGATTCATTACAACTAACATTGTTTGCATATTTGGAGTTCCTGAAATCATAGTCACTGATAATGCGACTAACATAAAAAATGACAAAGTGGCAAGAATTTGTAAGAGGTTCAAAATTAACCACAGTTCTCTTCGCCGTACTATCCTTAAGAAAAATAGCCAGGCCAAAGCTACTAACAAAAGCCTTCTCAGGATAATTGACAGGATTATAGAAGTTGGCAAAGAAGGACATGGAAAGCTGGCAGTTGCACTTTGGACTCATAAAACTACCAAAAAAAAAATAGCTTCCGAAATGACCTCATATTTATTGGTCTATGGCATGAAGGTAGTGCTACCAATTGATAAAGAAATACTTTCTCTTAGGATTCTTTCTTGTAAGGAGTCTGACCATGAAGAAAAGGTTGATGCTTTGACTTGCCGCTCTTGAAACCTTGGAAGAGAGGCGATTACAAGCAGTCGGCAAATGACTACCTACTATCATAGAAATGAACGAGCATGCAAGAAGAAAGTGATTTTTAATAATTTAAAGTTGGAGATTTCATCTTCAAAATATCTTTCAGTCGACCCTCACCTCACCCATTAGGAAAATTTAAGCGTAATTGGTAAGGACAATCTAAACGCATCATGGTAACTCTTATGGACTCAAAAATATAAAAGGATAGGAATTGAATAACCTGATGAATGCTATGGATCTCAAGAATTTCTAGTCTTAAAAAAGAAAGAAAAGGGAAGGGAAAAGCAAAAAATAAAATTAGTACAAAGTGCACTGAGGGACCTTAAAATAAAAAGAAAATAAAATTGGTCCTAAGTACGCTTAGGGACGTCAAAATAAAAGAAAAATAGAAACAATCCTAAGATCCCTTAAAGACCATAAAATAAATAATAGTAAATAAATAAAATTAGTCCCAAACACCTTTGGGGACCTCAAAATAAAAAGAAAAATAAAAGTTGTCACAAGTACGCTTAGGGTTTTTAAAATAAAGGAAACAAAAACAACATTGATCCAAACATGCTTAGAGACCTTAAAATAAAAGAAAAATAAAATTCGTCTCAAGTACGCTTAAGGACCTTAAAACGGGAGCCTCATGCCGCTAACTGTTGTCGAGCCCTCTTAGTCTCCTACAACGGGACCCTCATCTACGCCTTTTATGACCACACCTAATGCCTGATATTTGTGGTTCCTTCTAAAATGATTCTTAAAATGCGTGATCGGATTGGTCTTTGGCTCTCGGCTCAGGCATACGTCATCCTCCTGTCCACCACAGGGTATGGATAGGAGGGTGATGTCTTTAGAAGCGGCCTTGCATCTCTCATTGTAAACGGCTAATCCTTCTCGCTCAACTCAACTCATGCCTATGGGCCCACTCAACTATTCATCTCTCCATATCGGCCTCATACTCCTCCCTACTCTCTGTGCTAATGCTTGGGGCATCCCATCTCCATATCGGCCTCATGCTCCTCTCTACTCTCTGTGCTAATGCTTGGGGCATCCCATCGAGAAGTGAAGAAAAATGGACCTGGTTGAAGTGAAAACTATTGAAGAACCTAGCTCTACGTAATATGCCTCCATTGCATCCATGCAGATGAGGTGTGACCTCAATAAAAATAATGCGGTCGCCTCCTCGTTAAGCACATTACTCTAATTGATCACTAGAGCCCATAATATCAGAGAGAAATCATTTGTGTCCAGACAACTCTCTCTGAGTACTCTAGATCTCTAAATCCTAAATGACCTTATATGTGGCCCATCTCTTTGATGAGTCGGCAATGAGAAATGAACTAAATAAAAAGGCCATAAAGGTTTGTAGAGAGTAAATTTGATGCACCGGTAAAGGGTCCAGGTCCTCTTCCAAGTCTGCTGGATCCCTAAATCAGTCGAGCTCTGCCTCCAGTGTCAAGCACTCCCATTCCCTGCGAGCTCATGCTACTCTCTCCTCATTATTTCCTTCCCATCTCCATC